AAAAGGACAAGAGGAAAAAATAGTATTTCTGGAGCCTAGTAAGAGCTAGAGTCATGCAGGAGGGGCCTCTGGCAGAAGCTAAAATCTTGAAGGAATGCAGTCACTGACAATAAAACATAGCCCAAATCAGAGTGGGAACAGTGCAGAAATACATTGTCTTCTCTCTTCTGTCCTCCAAAGCTGTGCCAGTGCATTCCATTGACCAAACCCAAGCAGAATTCAACTACAAATGCAGTCTAGGGGATGCAGTTTCTAGTGATCATCCTCCCAGGGCACAGAACAAAACAGAGAAGGGCAGAAAATGAATCAGGATGTGTGGGAAAATAAAGACTAACCACCATGGTCCTCTCCTTTCACATTCAGCATCTATTCTTGTTATTCTATTCTCCCAATAGGGAGGCAGGGATAAAAAAAAATCCCACCAGCCACTGTACTGTTATGAGATAATGCTAATTCAATCACATTCCCCCACCTGAAACCTGATTTATAACAATTATCTCGAGTATTTTTCATATAATCAGAGGAAAGGAAGAGAAAAATAAATTAACAAAGATGTGCATAGCTGTTACAGTTTCCCTCTGAAGCTGATCATGAGGCCAAAGTCAGTAATCAACTTCATTCTTCTAGCACCCATTTCATATTCCCCTTACAGTAACCTGGTTAAAATTATTTCCCTGATACAGTGACCCTAATCTTCAATCCTGTGTTTATTGAATTTTTGCACTTTCCCACTGACCAGGACTATTAGGCAAAGCAGTACTAGGAGGTGCTCCAGTGAGTATCCCTGGGCTCTGAGCATTGTTATCCATGTTTGTATAGCAGGAACATTATTTCCCCTTAAAATTGGGCTCAGTCACTCCAGCCAATATAGCAGTTCAGTAGCACGAGAGGACAAAAATGGCAAGAATGTAGTCTTAGCTTTTAATGTAATGGAACTATGGCTTTATTCCCTGGTGAAAGCATTCATCCCTGCTGTGCCTAAGAGTCCAAGGTTGTGGAAAAAAAAAAAAAAAAACATATATTTCTTCAGTAGGTTAACCGATGTAATCATGAAAAGGGCCACTCCTTCCATGACTTCTTTATTCCCAGTTCTGTGTAACCTCACTATGGGGAAAAAGAAAGCACAATATATGGGTGGTTCTGTTAAAGCATCTATTGCAATCTTGTAGTACAGCACTCCCAGGAACAGCTGACCCCATAACTAAGCTTCCAGTAAGTTATTTATTTTTTTATAAGGCAAGCTGCTTCTGCATGGTAAAGTAAGTAGTGAAGACTAGTGAATCTTTGGATCTGTACTTCACTTACCATCAGAGAAAACTTGCGATGATTAAGGCATTCAGAGAGTCCGTGGAGATGGTGCTGACAGAACCATTGTCAGCAAAGAGGGTAAATGTGTGTCTAAAATCCATATTCATTTCCATGAGGAAAAGTTTCTGTTTTCATCATGATGAAAGGTGCCCCATGTAATAATCCTACAACCTAAGAAATGGTGTCTTATAGAGACTCATCATCTTCTCTGTTGTTAGGTTGGGCACTTAGTACAAGATCAGCCTTAGTGAGTAAAAGCCCATATTGTTGAATTCAGGCATAGCCTCTATAATATTGATGCTAAAATCTAGCAAAGATAACATAGACATAAAAATATGACTATTGCACTATTGTTTTGCCACAGTACTAGCTTGAATTTACTAATATTTTATTTTTGATATTTACATCTATATTTCTAAGTTAGACTGACCCCTGATGTTTACTTTTTTACTTCTATTCTTCTTTGTTTGGACATAAGCATTATGTTAGCCTTAGAGAACTAATTGGGTAAATTTCTACATTTTCCTATGCTGTAGAACACTTTAAGTTAGATTAAAATTATTGAATCCTTGTCAATTGTTATGGCGGGAAAAATAATGGCTCCTCAAAGATGTCTACATATTGGAACCTGTGAACATGTTACCTCATATAGCAAAGGTGACTTTGCAGATGTGATTATGTTAAGAATATTGAGATCGTAAGATTATCCAGTACTATCTGGGTGGACCCAATGTCCACCCTTGTAAAGGAAGGAAGGGTCCTTTTAAAGGAAGGAAGGAGGCAGATGAGTCAGAAAAAGATGTGACAAAAGAATTAAGCAATGAGACAGTGGAATGCAGGCAGCCTCTAGAAGCTGGAAAATGCTAGGAAATAGATTCTCCACTAGAGCATCCGGTGGTAAAACAGCCCTTTCAATCCGTTTTAGACTTCTGACCTCCAGAACTGTGTGATAATAAATTTGTCTTGTTTTAAGCAATTGCGTATGTGGTAATTTTTTATATAATTTGTTACGGCAATAGGAAACTAGCATAACAGTTATTTTTAAAGAACAAAAGAGGAAAAAAGTCTTTTCTATTTACCCAGATATTTATAATTTCTATTGCTTCTCCATTCCTGACGTTCAGGTTTCCCACTGGCATCATTTTCCTTTAGTCTGAAGAGCTTCCTTTCATATTTCTTGTACAGCATGTCTACTGGCAACATATTATCTTGGCTATCCTTCATCTGATAGTATTTTCATATTGTCTTCATTTTTGACGAATATTTTTGCTGGATGGCGTTTCTTTTCTTTCAACACTTCAAAGATGTTCCATTGTTTTCTGGCCTTCATTGTGATAAGAAAACCACAGTCATTCAAATTATTGTTCCCCTAGAAGTATTGAGTTATTTTCCTCTAACTACTTCAAAATTTTCTTTACTTTTCATTTTCAGCAGTTTGATAAGATGTGCATAGAGGTGATTTTCTTTGAGATTATCCTGTTTGGAATTCATAAAACTTCTTGAATTTATAAATTTATATATTCCAACAAATCTGGAAACATTTTTCCTCAAATATAGTTTCTATTCCAAAATGGGGAATCGAAGAGGACCAGCAGCTGCCACCCCTTCCTAGCACTGTCTCACAGAGCAGGAGCATCACTCAGGTAAAAGCAGGTCCCTGGCACCAGCTCTGGTGCAGTGGTTCAGGGATTCTTCCCAGCAGGAAAGGGAGGATATAAGGATAAAGGACACTGTAGCTCTGCTTGAGGGTACTGACTTAACTTGGAAACGGTGAAAAAAAAAAAAAAAAGCTATGCCTACAGGCATTGTTGTAAACAGTGAAGATCTTGGTAGACAATAATTAAGAGGAGGCTACCAGCCTCCCCTTAACCACATATTTATACATTGTATGAACATCAACACAAATTTATACATGTTGCTTTATAAAGTCAAGTAAGTAGGAGAAAAACAGAGTTATTACAAAATTCATTTATATTGTCTTATATTTACCTATGTAGTTGTTGCATGTGTTGTAATGTTTTATTGAAAGCTGGGCATGTTGGATAACATATTATAGCAACTCTGAATACTGAACCACCCCCCACACCCTGGAGGTTGTTGTTGTTTACTTGGTCATGTGTTTGTTTGATGGCTTGGCTGAACTAATTCTGTGAAGTCTATTTTCCCCAGCACGTGTAACTCTGGTGTCTCCGCTCAGATATTTTTCCCTTATTTTTATCTTTTAGCCTGGCTACTTAGGTTTTGACTCTAGGTTGACATAAGTTATTTATTGGTTAAAGGTTGTGCTTAAGCCCCCTTTAGTCAATTAGATTTATTATCCTTTACCATTGGATATGTGGGTGGCTTGGAAATGGCTCTCATAGTTCAGTGAATTTACATATTTCCTAGTCCCCCCTCCACCACCTCATTCAGCCACTAGTAGCTTGGAGGATGCTTCTCTGATTGCTCCTTCAAGGACATAGCCTAGGGCAGATACACATTCTTCTACATTTCCAGGGATGATACTGATTTTATTGTTCATCCTGGATTTCTAGGATTTGCCTCTGGGTCAGAGTAGCCTATGGTTCAGTCAGTGTTTGCACAGAAGTTGTGTTTAAGCTCCTGTGCCACTGGTGCTTTTGCCCTATGTTTATAGGTCTGTGTGTGGCTTGAGGAATTCTTTTAAGCCTGCTCCATCATCCTCTGATTTCTCCTAAGTGAATGTAGCTTAATATATGCATATAGCATTTCTAACTCCCCAAATTGCATGTGATCCCAGCAGGGTTGTTATTGATGGTCTCCTTCCCTGGTTGTTCTGCCAATACATGCAACAACAATCACATAGGTAAATATAAAAGACAATAAAAATGAATTTTGTTATATTTCTGTCTTTTCTCCTAACTTAAAAGACTTTATAAACAATATACATAAATCTGTGTTGATGTTCATACAATGTATAAAATGTAATCTCTATGACAATAGCAATGCAAAGGCATGAGGAGGTTATGAAGCTATTAAGAGCAAAGATTTGAAATTAAGTTGATATTGATCTGAACTTGATTTTTATGTTAAGATATTAATTGTAACTCCAAGGGCAACCTCTAAGAAAATAAACTGTAAAATAGAGTAAACGGAATGGCAAAGGAATGAAAATGGTATACTAGGAAACTCCTATTTAACACAAAAGAAGCAGGAGTAGAATAGAGGGACAAAAAAGATATGGGACATACAGAGAACAAATAGCAAAATGGCATATGTGAATCCCAAACTATAAGTAATTGCATTAATATAAATGTATTAAACACTTCAACATAAAGGCAGAGAGTGACAGAATTAATTTAAAACACGTGATCCAACC